ACTCCTGCTATGAATGACACCATCCAGTATTTTCTTTTTCTTTCTGGCTTATTTCACTAAGCATAACCTTTTCCAGTTCCATCCACCTTGCTGCAAATGGCATGAGATTATCTTTTTTGATTGCTGAGGAATATTCCATTGTGTATATATACCACATTTTCTTGATCTGGTCATGTATTTTTGGGCATTTGGGTTGATTCCACATCTTCCCTGCTGTAAATAGAGTAGCAATAAACATAGGGGTGCTAGTGTCCTCCTGAATTGTTGTTTTTTGTGTCCTTTGGGTGGTTATCTAGGAGTGGAATTGCTGGAAGATATGGAAGCTCCATTTTTAGCAGTTTGAGAAAACTCCACACAGCTTTCCATAGTGGTTGCACCAGTTTTCACACTCTTGCCAACATTTATTGTTGCTTGTTTTTTCTTTTAATATGTGCCATTCTCACTGGTGCAAAGTAGTATATCATTCGCTTTTGATTTGTATTTCCCTTATTACAAGCAATGCTGAACATTTTTTTCATATGCTTATTGGCCTCTTCGGAGAAGTGTCTTTTTAGCTCCTATGCCTATTTTTTTTGAACGGGTTGTTCAAAAACAACATTAATTTTAAAGCTAGCAGGACACAGCATTTCATAAATGATGATATAGAAATAATAAATATGCACATGAAAAGATGCTAGTATTACTTGTCATCAGAGAAATCCAAAGCGAAATCATGATAAGCATCAAGTAAAATAGGACACCAAGTTTGGTCAGAGTGTGAAGCAGTTACTAGTGGGGACATACTATAGCCTCGCCACTGGAGAGCTGCCTGGAGCTGCTTACAACCGTTACAAGTGGATCAACCCTGTGTGTATGTACACACACATACCCTAGAATAATGCCCAAATGTACATAACAAGATTTGTGCACAAATTCCTTAACAGCTCTAGTCACAAAAGCCAAAAATAAGAAAACAACCCCAATGGAAATAAATAAATAAATGGATAATCACATTTTGGTGTTTCCAGATAATGGAACACTATTCAGCAATAAAAATGAGTAGCTTGCAGATATATATGACAACCTGGATAAACCTCTTTGTCCTACTGATGAGTACAGGAAACCAGATACAATTCATTTATATTAAGCTGTGGAACAGGAAAAGCTACTCTATGGGGTGGAAATGAGGTCCATGTCTACTTTGGGGTGGTGAAGACTGACTACAGGGACAGAGGGGACTTTGTAGGTATAGAAATGTTCTGTATTTTAACTGATGTAGTAAATACTCAAGTATATATATATCTGTCAAGCTCAAAATGTATATAAAAACCTGGATTTTATTAAGTGCAAATTATACCTCAAATTAATTTTAAAAAATTGGTTATATATGTTAAACTTTGATCACCCAAGTTATTTCTAGCTTTAAGATTCTCTGGTAGAAGATATATTAACAGTCCAATATGACTTAGTGTTTTAAAAAAATTACTTTTCGGGCCCTCCCCGGTGGCGCAGCGGGTTAAAGCACAACACTGAGAATCTAAAGCCACTTCCGCATGAGTTCGATCCCCGCCTGCCCCGGAGGTGACCACATGGCGAGCCAGACCTCTCCTGACCCGCCCGCTGCTTCCCTCAGCAGTGTACTTCGTTGATCTGCCTGTTCTACTCCCCACTCTGTCTCTGGTGAAGCCTCTCACTGCCCCTGAGCCTCTGGCCTGTACCCCAGTTCTGTAGAATAAATAAATCTAAAAAAAAAAAAAAACTGATGGTACATATAGTATTTCTTCCATTTTATCGATGAAGAAACAGATCTGAAGAAGTAACTTACTCAAAATCACACAACCAGTAAAAGAGAATTAAACCCAGGTCTCACTTTAAGCCCATCTCTTCAGCACTCCACTCATATCTCACATACCTTGAATACAGACTCCAGAAGAGGTAAACATGGTGTCTGAACAGCTCTATGGGTCAAAGCAAAACCCAGAATAATTTGATGGGGTGCTTGCTAATATGGGCAACTGGATTCTTTATGCCTTTCCATACAGCTCTGTTGCTGCCAAGTTACTATTTTGTCATTTTGCCCAGAGCAGAAGAAATCCAGAGATGCTGTGGTTAAAACATACTCCCATCTCTCTTGTGATCGCATGTGTCCGTGAGGCCTTTATACTCCCTGAAAAGCTCTGCTAGCTGAATTAGGTGTATGGGCACAAGGAATGGGAAAGAGCAGCAAGCATTCAGTGCTCCACCATGGACACCAGGAGCAGGGTGACATCTAAAAACATCTACTTACCAAGAGTTCAGGTCCAAACACCTAGTGAGTTTGCCCTGTTCTTTACCAACAGAGACTTTGGCTTTAACCATGCAACCCTCACAAAAGTTAATAACAAACACTGTGATTCTACTACACCACATCTCTCTGAAGGTGAGCCACACACGGCGTCACAGCCCGCAAGTACACTCGTGGCACACACCTGGTCGATGTTGAGCCGCAGCGGCATCAGCGACACCCGCAAGCAGCACTCCTGTGGGGACTTGCCGGACTCTGGGCGCACGTGCAAAGCTTTCACTGTCAGCTACAGAGAAAGAAAGAAAAGGCCATTTCCCCCCTTCATATTGTGACTTGTTTTCTTCCGAAAGGAAAAGTAAACAAGACAGAAAAAATTTTTCTTTTTCCTATATTGGAAAAAAGGGCCAAACTGTTTAACCTCTTCCCTTAAAAGCTGAGTCAGGGCCCTCCCTGGTGGCACAATAGGTTAAAGCGCGCCCTGTGAAGTTATCCACAGCCAATGCGGCACAAGTTCCATCCCCAGCCAGGGAGTAACGACATGGCACGGCAGACCTCTCCTGACCCGCCCGCTGCTCCCCTCTCTGTGTCTGGTGAATCCTCTCATCCCCCTCCCCCGCACCTCTAGCCTGCACCTCAGTTCTGTTTGCATAAATAAATAAAATCTTAAAAAAAAAAAAAACTAAGTCAAACTTTTTTGGGTCATGCCCTTCCTCAAGAGGCTGATGAAAGCTATGGATTCTCTCTAGAGAAAAAAATGCAAATGATAACGCTGTGCTTGTTGTCTCAGAGGCTTCTGCAGAGCCCCTGCAGCTAACCGACAGACCAAGCCTCCGTGGACAATGTTTGTCTCCAAATGCTCCGGCAACAGCTCACTTGCGCAACACCCATGTCTGGGAGGCTGAATGGGCACTGGCTTTCCTCAGGTGTCAGCACTTCGGCGACTATAGTTAATGCACCCTAGAAGCGACATGCAGAGTAGTCTTTGCAACATAAAACTTTAAGCAGCATATTTAACAGGGATTCATATTAAAAAGAGGAGAACTATCCAGTAATTTTTCCCAATCTAATTCTTCAGTTAGCTATAAGAACAACTCTTTCACAAAAACAACAACTATGAAGTTCAAACGCTTACCATATTGGAGTGAGCTTTTCGAGGCATTTCCTTGCTGCAGTACAGGTACAGAAACTTATTCATTTGTGACGTTGCCAGGCGATCGCGGACTTCAAGGTCCTGCACGATGAGCACCTGCCTGGAGACGGGGTGTTCGAGGAGGCTAGACGCACAGCCGGGTTTGCAGGGTGGGTAGACCTCGTGCTGAAACTTCACCTTCACGGGCAAGGAGAAGGCAGGGTGAAGATGTTTACATTTTAGTTAAACTAGATTTTTCTCTTTAAAATACAAAATATCACATTATTTTCACTGAATTCTATTAGCTTTCAATTCTACCTTCGGAGAACAACATAACATATCTTCATTTGTTCACTCACCTCACCATACGAAGAGAAACCTGACGAGCATTTCTTATTTGACCTTGGTAAAGTTCCTTATCCCTTTCAAGCAAGACCCTCAATAGAGTAAGACGTAAGATTATGATCTTGCCTAACTATAACATCATTTGAAAATGATTCACTGCAACTTCCAAAGGGGAGATGGGGATTAAGCACACAAAACTGCCATCACTACATCTTCGGCACTAAGTTCCCTAACACATGACACGTGGCACAATCCCAGATAAACTGACGGAAATTCACACCGTGCCACTGGTGTCCTCCCTCCTGCTCTACAACATCCAACGAGGAGCTGAGATACGTGCTCTCCAAGGGCAGGCCCTCCAGTCAGGCAACCCTAGCCAGTGGCTCAACAAGCACAGTCCTGGGATAAGCAGTGTTGGCATCACCAGGGGACAGGTTAAAAATCCAAGTTCTTGGTCCTCCCTGGTGGCGCAGCGAGGGAAAGCACTGCATTAAGAAGCTAAAGCCACTTCCGCATGAGTTCGATCCCCGCCTGCCCCGGAGGAGACCACATGGTGTGGCAGACCTCTCCTGAGCGGCCCGCTGCTCCCCTCAGCAGTGTACTTCGCCATCTGCCTGTTCTGCTTCCCGCTCTGTCCCTGGTGAATCCTTTCACCCTCCGCATCTCTGGCCTGTACCCCAGTTCTGTATGCATAAATAAATAAATCTTTAAAAAAAAAATCCAAGTTCTTGGGCCCTATCACAAAGCTACTGGGTCAACCTCAGGCCTGGCGCCCAGAATTTTAACAAACTGTTGAGCGGGTTCTTCTCATGGTTACTCCTCTCAGAGACACTGCTCAATGAGGCAGTCTGAGAATACAAAAGTAAGGCTTCTCGTAATACAAGAAGAGAGGTAAGAGCCTGCTCTTCTCTTATCCGAAGGGCAGAGACTCAGCAGAACAAGAAAGGAGTCACCAAAGAATCTTCAAGGAGGAGCCTAATTCACTGGATGTTTCCTGCCAGGATGCCAGCTCACCTTGCTTAGCTGTATTTCCATTAAAAAGTCATGGTTTCTTCCTTTTCCACCACATCCCATATTACGACTATGTCTTGTGGGAGTATGAGAAGGCGAACTGTGAGGACTTCTATAAATGAAAAACAATCCTTGTCAAAGAATATGCCAAGAAAATAAGACGACAGAACTTTCAGAGCATTGCTACAGATGTTTTACTACAAACCAAAGCCATGTTTTTTTATACCTTAGAGACATTGAGAACATGAATTCATCACTGCCAAAGGGCAATGTCTCCCCAAAAAACACTTAGACCCATAGGGAAAACATGAATTATGGTGCTGGAGCTCTTATCAGAGGACTAAGAGATGAAAACTCCTCATAAGCTCCACATCACTTCAGAAACCCTTTACAGTGAGAGTATAGGTCCTACAAGTCCTAATACAGAAAAGAATTACAATAAATTTGGGAGTCTTAAATAAAACACTGCTAAACACAAAGTCATTATTGTCCCCAAACACCAGTCTGTGAAGGTTCTTCTGACCCTCTTGACACCCAGGGAAGACTGACCCATTCTACCCCCTCCGTGCTGTGCCTCTCCAGGACTCCTAAAAAATGCCCTTGTGTACCACACACTTCCAACAACCTCTCGGCTCGGAACTGTGTCAGCTGCTGGAGATTTGGAGATAGACTGGTACGTGCCTCTGGACGCGCACTTCACCTCCCTGCCCTATCTCCTCCCATAACCATTCATCCTCTTGAACGGAGGGCAGGGCTTAGGTTTTACTCATTTTAGTGAGTATCTCTCTCGTAAATACGCTGCCACATAGTGAGGAACACAGAAACTTCTGAAAATCACGTGTCACCATTTTAGTAAAAATACAAATAATGCAAATAAGTTCACAGTTTTAAAAGGAACATTCAAATTAAATAATTTTATATGTAGTTATTAATGTTCTTAAAATGATAAAATCTATGTATTTTTTTCTGCAACAGACTACCAAAAAAATAAATATAAGTCAACATTAACTTACATATAACTTTTAGCTGGAGAAGCAGGAGGGACTGTTCCAAAATCCTTCCCTCCATAAAGGTGCCAAACAAGAGAGACTTCCTTAACAACATAGCGAATTACAGGAATCGGAAAGTGTAACGGGGCTTTGCTTGTATCTGTCTTTTTAACAGGCAGACTGAAATAATTGTCTCTTATCACAATTGCATCATCAACCATTATTTTCACAACTGGCTCTTCTTCCTTCTCCTAAAATAAAAAAAACACAGACTTTATCTCTGTAGAAACCACTGATTATGGCTTTGATATCAAAGAGACTTCTTGATTATCTTCAATAAATTTAATATGTAAAAAGGTATAATTGTTACATTAATCATCACATAAGATAACCTGCTTTCTTAGCCATAAAATAAATTCTCTTTCTGTTCTATGTAGAGCATTTCACGAGGATTTTTTACAGGCTACAAAATAGCTTTTAAGGCTTGTTTGACAATAAAAAGGCATAGATTCAGTACATGGGGTTTGTGTGTGTGTGTGTGTGTGTGCATGTTTTAATTCAAATCATCACTTCATTCCAAAGTTGACATATTGCATCATACTAACCAAAATACCATGCTCCTACTAATAGGTTTATCCTGATTTTGATTACTTTGATACTCTTTTAATTTCCCAGAAGTAAAACACACACACACTCACTAAGCTACCACAGGTAATTTAATTTTTAATACCTATGTATTTTAAGAGGCAATTGGCAGGTCCAGTTCCCGTAACATTGCTTAACCATTTAGATTAGTGAACTATGAACTTACCATGAATAAGGAACTTATACTTTAAAAATAGGAGCATGATTCTAAAATGGAAATTAAATACATCACCATCCACCAGCCTTCACATAAACTACATATTTCTTTCCTGTTATTTGGACCACTACCTATAACTCAGCATCCTTTCTGCCATTTAATTTCACTTCCCTGAAGAGTTAACTTACTACAAAAAAAAAAAAAAAAAATTATCTGTAGTGCAATAATCTCTGAAGGAAATTTTTTAAATAGAGAGCATTCTGCTCTGCATCTCTAAGAGATGTGACATAGAGATAGTCAAGAATAACGAACATTTACAAAATCTTAACTGTATTGCAAAAGGTCATGAAACTCTAACACCCTATGATTAGTTCAATCTGAAACATTATTTTAAGGCTTTACTAATGTTACCAATTTTTATTACCTGAATGGCTGCTTTTGGTGCAAAAAGAATACAGAAGTCATCATTTTCAGTAGGCACAGCTCTCACCGCGTCACTGATCAAGTGGGGAGTGAAAGGCGTGTAAGTGGGGTCGGGCCCCTGGGACACATGCCCGCTCTCGTCTGGAAACAAGAAGAGGTCCGAACAGCATGGCTCCTGAATCTGTGATTTTTCATCCAAAATATCTAGGCAAAAAGAGAATGACATCCAGTCTTGGCACACTTCCAAACCGTCAGCACCACCTACAGATGTCTGACCAGATACACAGCACACTGAGTGGGTCTGACTTGGAAGTTTCATTCATTTCTCACCAAGACTCTGTAATAGTGTTTGACTGCTAGTAAAAACACTAAGAAGTTTACAATTCTCTAAGGAAACAGTAAATGATGTTCACATAAAGCTAGACAGTCTCCGCTCAGCCATCTGGCCCAAAAGCAGCTCAGGAAATTGGCAGAAGCGCGTTGGTGTTGAATGGAGTTCGCATTTAACCTGCATTTCAGACTGACAATACTCTCTGGGGGTGTGTGGAACACTGAAGAAACATTCTGGACAAATTATCGACAGCTACAGCAGTGTCTCAACAAAAACCAGAGGAGTCTCTGAGTGTGGAGTGGGTAGTGGCAACAATTCCGAGAGTGTCTTCAGCCTGGCCGGTGATCCCACACAATGAAAAGAGGATAATTTTGGAGGCTCAAGACACTCGACACGCACATCTCAGGTAGCTTTCTTAAAAGGACGTTTAGCAAAGGCTTGCAAGTGTGCCAACGAGTATGTGGATACACAATGACATTACATGTTAGAATCACTAATTCTCCATTCATTTATTCAAACCGGCTATGCTATGGGTCTCAAGAGGCCCAAAGACTAGATTCTAATTCCCTCTATAGCAGCACCTCAGACTTATCTATCTTTCGAATGCCTAGTACCTAGCACAGAATCTTATATATCACAGCTGCTCAGTAAGTCTTTCTTTACATTAGTTAGCTGTAAAAATTCATAACAAATAATATAGTATGCAGAAATCTGAAAGTTTCCAGTTGGTTCCTAAGTTCTAACTGATTCTAAGTTAGAATGAAAATATTTAACATTACACTTTTATAACACCATGAAGTAATTTTTTTAAATTAAGATTTCCCAACATATAGAAATAGCTACATTCATCCAACTAGGAAAAAATGCCTTTTAAATAAAAGCTTCAAAATATTTCTGTGATTCCCTCATGGCTTTCTAGGGGTCTGGTGCCTCCCTGATTATCCAACTTTAAGCAACTTTCTCTCCAGAATAGTTTAGGCTGTTAGTAATCAGGGCTTCAGCAGCATTTTGCACCACTGTTGATGGTAAAAGATCTTACCAACATTAGCTTCTCTCTCCCCTCCTGCACATCTCAATCCTACCCACATTTTAAAAGCCAACTCATCTCACTTTCACTAAAGTATAATGAAAATATTCCAACCATTTTGAACAGTAGTCAAGAGTATATATCATATTTACCATATCCTGAGCTGTTTACTTATATCATTTCTCAACCCTCCCAAACTAACATCAGTATGGTTTAGTACCAGTTTGTTTTACATAACTAGAAGTTACCAGGAAACATCAGTTCTGTCTTCCACTTACTCCATTTTCCCTGCAGCACACTGGCCAAGTATTACTTACCTAAGAGACACACACAGTGAATGACAAATACTGAGATGTATTTTTTCTTTAATAAGGACCTTGTTATTTCACACAAATAATGTAAGCCTCAATGCCAACCGCAGCACTCCCAGCAAAAAGTTCTGCTCTCTCTCACCATCAGATTTTGGCTTTACAGATGGAGGGGCTTGCTGCACATCAATCTCTTCCATGGCGTCACTCATCAGTTCTCGCAAGATCTGCTGGTCTGCATCAGGAAGAACTGGACCACGTGAGGCTGGGTGACCACTGGAATCTACCTACAACCAAAAAGCTTAATTAGAAATAACTGAAAGTGGTCTAAGAAGTACTTAACATTTGTTTTGTCCTAGAAGCACATTTTACAGGAAGAGGAACATCCTCTTTTTCCTATATTCTGCCCAGCAGCTGTTACATTTTCACTGAAAGCTGTTAGTATCATCATTATCACCCTTCACAGCCACAAAGAAACAGAAATAAATGTGTCACTGCCTTAAAGCCAGCACAATGAAGTGGGATCTCGAGGAGAAATGCGTTAGAAGAGAAGAAAGCTCAAATACTCATCACACAACACTGGGGGAGCAGTGACCGAGCCACTCTGCTTGCTCTGAGGGCTGGAACGCTTCCCACTGCTTCGAGACGCAGCCACGGCAGGGCAGGGCCTCATCTCTTGGATGAGCAAATGCTAAGGGCAGTAGGAGCTAACACAGGTGAGAAGATCACCAAACGGGAGCCGCAGGCCCAACCCCAGCACCGACGCCGAGCCATTCTGCCAGAGAGCTGTGCATTCATCAAATCCAAATCACACTTCTAAAATGTCTAAAATAGATCTAATTTGAAAGGGATAATTGTGTAATCCAGGTGTGAGAGAAGGCAGCGAGGGGACAGTGGAGAACATAAGAAAGCAATGCACAGAGCATCAAAATAGCTGGTCTTTGTTGCCGTTTTTGCCACATATCAAGGAAAATTAGCTAAATTCTTTGGATTTTAACATCCATCCAAAAAGCAGAGATAACAATCTTAAGCCTGTCTGGTGCCCTGGGACAAAGGAAATCACACATGCGAAAAGATACTGAAAATCAGTTGGCACGAGAGACCCGCAGGAAAGCCAACACTGCGTAGGTGGCCTTCCGGTGGCTACACCAGCACGTGCCATCTACCTCTCATAATTCTCTCACATGTAACTCGCAGATGACAAACTCACATAACAAATGGTTTTCCAGATAAAAATAATCATAAGTCTGGAAAAAAGTATTACGTTGATCAAGAAGATTCATATTCTGCAACAAAGGAGATCAAAGAAGGTACATGATCTTCCCCAAAAGGTCAACAGAATCACCTTTCCAGAACCCATCGCTCTGAAGGTAAAGGACAGAAACACGACTTCTTAGAGTTTCTTTTCTACTTTAGGACTACCGTGAAGCCCCTGCTGAAACAAATGTGCGGTCACGCGGCTGAAGGGGCGGGGGTGTGACGACTCAGTGGCGTTGCCAGCGGCACTTCACCTTTCTCTGTGGGGCTCCGGGCTTCGTCTCCGCCTTGCCGGCTGCATGCAGGTCCCCATAGCTGGCGATGTACTGAATGAGGTTCATCAAAGCCGCACAAGAGTCTGAGCATGTTCTGATATGGACGACGTCACTTGAACAGTGTAACTCAAAGCGCGGTTCGGTCTGGACAGGACCCAGGGAAAAGGAAGAAAAAGTTTTCCGAGCAGGAGACAAAAGAATTATTTTGGTACAGTCTTGCTGTGGGAAACACTTACAGTGCAGAATTTTAAAATGTTTTTATTTTAAAACATTATAACTTAAAATCTTTAAAATCTGGCAAATTTCACAATAAATTCCATTTTTTAGTCTCTCAAAAAAGCAGGACTTAAATATTTCCAGTTATTTTAACAACTTACTTGCTCTCCATCAGAATCAGACTTCACTGCAGTTATGGTTAACTCCAAAAGCCCCATATCCATCACACGAACATAGTCTAAAATTTTAAATGAATAAAATGTCTGAAAGCTCTCAAAAAATGCTTACCCAAGCAACACCAAATAAAACTAGCACTTCATTAAAATTCATGGCAGGTAGTACTACAAATATGTATAATGTAGTAATAATACAGTTTTATCCTTTTAAAAAACTTGCAATTCACCTTATTTTAGAGAAAAATGTCTTTATTAAATAAAGTATATATAACTTAATACACTTAAGTGATATTAAGGTATTACAATCTGATACTTAACAAGATATTTGTTTCACTAGCATTACCTGAGAATAAAAAGTACACAGAAGAGGCCCTCCCTGGTGGCGCAGCGGGTTAAATAAAGCATAGCACTCAGAAGCTAAAGCCACTTCTGAGTAAGTTCAATTCCCGCCTGCCCCAGAGTTGATCCGTATGGTGCGGCAGACCTCTCCTGACCTGCCCACTGTTCCCTTCAACAGTGTACTTTGATACTTTGCCTGTTCTGCTCCCCACTCTGTCTCTGGTGAAGCCTCTCACCACCCCTTAGCCTCTGGCCTGTACCCCAGTTCTGTATGCACAAATAAATAAATCTTAAAAAAAAAAAAGTACACAGAAGAATACAAAAGAGCATCCATCCACTCACACTGCTTAACTCTTACCTCTATTCAAATTTACAGTGACCGTATTACATTTGTCAGACAGATGTAAAGCAGCTTCATCCAAGATTATTCTGAGGGGAAAAAGATAAAATCAACATCTGAAAAATTAACTTCCAACACAAACCATGTGGTCACTTTACATATGGTGGTATGATTCCTTCTAATATTATCAAAATTATATGTAGTGTCTAACTTATGAGTGCCATCTAACATGTCTTTATAACTCATCGTTTGAATGCTAGGAATATGTAAAGAATAAATTTAAATCATCTGCTCAATTTATTCCCAATGGGTTCCTATAACACATGTCCACATCTAAGTCTAAGTTATGAAAAGAAAGTACCACTGGTATCATGGAAAGTGTGTCTGTGTACACACATGACATATGCACACACACAGCAGCATAGTGAACTAAGAGCACATATATGTGTGTACACACATGTGTAAATGTACACAAACTTCCCATAATACCTCATGCTCTTGCTTTCACCTGTATATGTATACAAGCACATAAACATATTTTCATATATGTATATATATGTTGTAAAAAGTAAACTAGGAATCTCAAGAATCAATTTCCTTCTGAAAAACAAATACAATAGTGGCCCTCCCTGTTGGCACAGCGGGGTAAAGCACAGCACTGAGAAGCTAAAGCCACTTCCGCATGAGTTCGATTCCCGCCCGCCCCGGAGGTGACCACATGGCGTGGCAGACCTCTCCTGACCCGCCCGCTGCTCCCCTCAGCAGTGTACTTTGTTGATCTGCCTGTTCTGCTCCCCACTCTGTCTCTGGTGAAGCCTCTCGCCATCCCTGAGCCTCTGGCCTATACTCCAGTTCTGTATGTTCAAATAAATAAAATCTTTAAAAAAAATACAATAGTGAAGAGAAGAGAGGAGTCATCTGAGAAAGGAAAATTGAGTGACTTAGATAAACAGAAACAATTATTAGTAAAAGAATGTTGATTTTAACAAAGAAGTGAAACATCAATCAAATGGTTTAGATAAATATCCACTAGTATGTTCTGGATAGTTACATCTGGTATACAATGATGTTTGCACGGTACCTGAGAGTAGAAGATGATTTATCCAAGGCAACGCTACTAGAAACGCTGAATGTCTCAACAGTAAGGAGAGATCGGATTGGCAAGTAAAGTGGCCTGAGGTCCAAAAGAAACAACAGAACATCAGCCTAATGCAATTCTCTTGAAATCATTTGAACCTCAACTCTACTGAATTACATATTTTTCTAAACTTAATACATATTTTAAATAAAATGTTATTTTGTCCTTTTGTAAACTGACCTGTAATCAAGTGCACAGCTCCAGAGATGAACATGAAAAGTTGTAAATGAAGTTGGAGGATTATATCCCAAAACAGGTTCATCAGCAATATTCAAGAAGTATAAAATCTATAATCACAAAAATATAAAACAATATAAAAACAAGTTTTGATATGATATCCTTGATACCACTATAAAACACAGAATCTCACAGAAAAAGCAATGAGTTACTGGAAAATCATAATGCTAAAGAAAAAAATCACATTTTGAAAGAACTCATTTCAAAAATTATTTGCATAATAGAAGTTTTTGAAATGAACAGAACCATCCAACAACTTTAATGCTACAGAAATTTCAGGAGTCCTATCTAATGAAACACACAACTTTCATACCAGCCAGTTTGAAACAACTCTTGAAAATACAGTTACTTAAAACTATCCATCTATTTTTCTCTGAGGTCCATCGTTGGGAGAAGCTCTTTTTCTTTGTTTTCTAACTAGCTCAGTCTAGAAACGAATCCCCATCACCAACATCTATTCTCCCCATTTCTAATGTAAGAAAATAAGGTCAGGCTCCATCACTCCCTTACAGACCAGCGTCCATACCACACCATCTATCTCCCGCCATCCACACGTGACAGCACTCACTTACGGACACAGACACACACATCTGGGAGAAGATAAGGCGGAGAAGGAGAGAGAGCCAGAGGATAAGGAGATCACCACTTGACATTTCCTACTTGCCTCTGTAGGAAAAGTTTGCTGAAATCATTCAAGCTATAAAATAAGCATTTTCCAGGCCCTCCCTGGTGGCGCAGCGGGTTAAAAGCACAGCACAAAGAAGCTAAAGCCACTTCAGCATGAGTTCATGCCCCATCCCGGAGGTGACCCACAGGGCGCACCAGACCTCTCCCAACCCGCCCGCTGCTCCCCTCAGCAGTGTGCTTCGTCAGTGGGCCTGTTCTGCTCCCCACTCTGTCTCTGGTGAAGCCTCTCACCGCATCACCCCTGCACCTCTAGCCTGTACTCCAGCTCTGTATCCATAAGTAAATAAATCTTTAAAAAAATAAATAAGTAAGCATTTTCCTGTCACAAGAAAAAACTTCTCTCTAGAAAAGACCTAGGCACCACAGCACCCTAATTTTCATTCCCCCATGAAGAGTTAACTTCTTATCCAAAGTCCCTCTGAAAACAGTCAACTGTGTCATTGCCATACAGAACTGTCAAGCCAACTGTTTAAGAAATGCCTGCAGTATGAATGGGCTTAAGGGAGTAACATGAGTGATAGCATTTGGAGACAGACTATCTGATTCAAAGTACCAGGCTTTTACTGCTACTGTGTCAGGCTCCTGAGACACAGACTTCCAATGACATGAAGGATAACAGTTTTTTAAAAATTTAAGGATCTGTTGTAAAATTAAAAAAAAAAAGTTTAAGGATCTAATGACACAGGCTATACAACTTCTAGCAAGTGACAAATTCCAGATAGAAAAGGAAAAGCTCTGAAAAATCAGAATTTCCATGCTAATTTATGTTATGACCTCCCTTTTTTGTATAATCATAATATCAAAATATTCTGAGCAACTTTCAGTGTACAACTGGATGGCCTTAGCTTCATAAGGCGCTGCCTGGCCTGACAAGCAAGCGCTGCCCCAGGAAGGGAAATTCCTCTTGAAATGAAAAATAATATTACAACTGGCTCATTAATAAAAGCAATTATAACAAAATCAATATTGTAAGACAAAGCAGTACTAGAACATGTTAAAAAATAATCAGAGTTCTCTTATTGCCTGGATGAGAACCCAAATCTCATCTCTCTACTATCTCACATAAGCCTTCTATTCAGTTTCTAAAGAACTACTTAAACTTTCTACTGTCTAATCTTTTAATAAGGAAATTTACTCAGGCTTTTTATTTAGTTTTTAAGGAACTACTCAAGTCTATTCAGTTTTTAAAGAATTTTACTATATTTCCTTTTGTGATTGATTTACAAGAAAATTCTCCTACCTGCCTTTACTTTATTTTACCCTCTAGGTATCTCAATGAGAATGAAGGTCATTAGGTAGTAACTAAGGTTTAAGGGACTTTATTTTTAGCCAGTCATCACTGTGGTGAATATAGCAAAGTTAACCTTAAATTTTATAAATGTATGTACCTGTTTTAACTTTAATATATTAATTTTAAAATGTTATAATATCAGCTAAAGGTCAATATGACCCCAAACTGTTAGAAAAAAAGATGACTGTGATCTCAGCCCAATTCATATGCTGTTATCCCACTGCTTGCTTGAAATGTATAAAATAAACCTCTGATGAAACCAGAGCAGGAAGATTTGCACCCAACTCCGATTCCTCTGTCTTCCTTCCGCCCGCTCCCCTTTTCCCCCTTTTTTAGGAATCTCCTCTCACCAACACCACTCCCACCTTAAGACCCTGACTGTTCTGCCCCCCCACTGCCACCCGTGATCGGGGTCAGTCCCCGACAATCTAACTTTAAAGTAAAGCAGCAATTCCACCCTGGATTGGCAGTAATGTCTGTCTCTAAACTAAGAGGCAGTCACACAGGAGCACTGTAGGCAGAACACGCGTGGTTTGTGAACTCTGCAGTATGTATTTCACAATATAAATTTAAAAACTAACTGGTACGCCACACATAGCAGTTCTCTTACCTGCTCATGCCAGCTAAGCCCAGAAGGAAGCATTCTGTGCTGGAGAGTGGCCCCTTTTAGTCCTACAGCAATGAGAAATTCCTATACAGAACAACACAAAGAGCTACATTTATCACCTAAATAATCCTCTAACTTAAAGTCAAAAACATTTTTCTAAGAAAATAAGTGTGCTGACTTTTATACAATCTCCTCTAGCTTATAATCAAATCAAAACAGCAGTTATTTAATGGCATAAGAGCACAAAAAGCAAACCTTTGTATTGGACTCAGACTTATCAGACAGTATTTTAACTGCCACAGACAGCATATTCAAGGCGTCTCCTCCAACACCATCCGACGATGCTCTACCCACGCGGTCATCTTCTGAGCAGTAAATAGTGGGTTCCAACCAGTGTGGGCGGGTGGCACTGGGCAGACGCGTTTCTGCAGGAAGAATCACTCCATCTACTATGCCTACATCAACCATGAAATGAAAATAAATCAAAATTATTACTTGAAGTGAGTGTCTTCTATAACTGAAGGCAAAACAACATACTTCCTTTGAATATATCAAAATCCTAGAGACAAAATAACAAAAACCAACTTCAAAACAGTCAAAAAGCCATAATTTTCAGGACCCAAGAAGAAAAAAGAAATGCAAAGGAAATTATATTTCAACAGGAAAATCTGGTTGACATTAAAAATGCCCAAGTATCTCCCCTCTATACCAGTGTAATACAGGGAATGCATGCAAAAGAATACAGAATGCATTCTGTATGTGAAAGAAATACTGCTTTAGAGAGAAGACTATAAAGCCCCATTAACTAAACGATGGCTAAGGTGTGATAAATTACATAAATTTTGGCAGGAAAAAAGGAATTAAGTACATTTGGATGAACCTTGATAACAATGTGACAAATTAAAGTCAGTTGAATAAACCTAAATAGTGCATGATTCCGCTACATAAAGCAGCTTGAATTTAAAGTTCATAGACACAGAAAGTGTATCAGAGGTTGCTTAGGACTGGGGAGGTTGGGAGGGTGATAAGAGCTAAAGGATACAGAGTTTCTTTTGGGGGAGATAAGAATGTTTCAAGTTTTGGAGGGGTGATTTGGAAATAACAAACACCAAGAAACCGCTATTTTAGACAAGTGATTGTGTGCTATATGAATTATATCTCAATAAGCTTGTTGAGAAGAAAGAACATAAAGTCAGCTTCTAATTTTCATTAAGTATTCGGCAACAGAATCTGAACAATCCCAGAGAAAATAATTTCTGCTACCAGATTTCTGTTCTCAATAGGTTTTCTTTATTAAACAAAATTAAATGTGTGAAACAGACATGACCAGACACAGCATTTGCCATTTGTCCTACCTTTGTGGTAGAGGCTGAAGCTGCTCGTGTGAAGGCAGAGGTAGTGCTTGTCATCAAAGCCTTCATACTTTGTCACACAAAATAATGAGCCGCTATTGAATTCTAACCAGAATTCACCATGCTTGTTTTCCAGCAGATCTCCATTATCTTGCTAATAGAAGGATCATAAAAACACAGAAGTTGACACTTAAATGCAGAAAAAGCATGACCGTGGGGTGTTCCTTGTGGGGTCAGCTGAGAACTCCCAAGTGGTCTCCAGCCACACAAATCGCTGGGCTTCTCCCGTCTTTAGGATACAAATCAATCACTGGCCACCCTCAGAACAGAACCAGCACACATTTTCCAAAAGGAGGGCCACGTGCCATCTCTCTGTTAACCAGAAACGAATGCTCAAGTCCCAACACTGCTATCGTCAAGACCTTGGAAAAGGGACCTTCACCCCTCCCTGAAACAAGCTCAAGCCTCCTCTATTTCGGGGTGTTTATCATGGCAGTAAAGCAAGGCACACTTGAAAACCACTGGATTTGTAAACTCTTACCTTTACATCTGTAAACACTGCCATGAGTCCATGATTGATACTCAGAAGAACTGAAAGAAAACTCTGCGCGTTCTTATTCTGAGAGTCTAGTTTTTTTTTCCTCCGGGACCGGTAGTTGGGATCGACGCTAGGAAAGCACTGCAGTGTCTCCTCCTCGGACCCGCTCTCCTCATCTGTGGGGAGAAATGGCAACTGATTGGTTCTGGCTGCTTATTAGAAGAAAGGAGCACCCTGAACACTACCACAAAAAGGCTTCTTTATATTTACAGCTTGTTCACATCCAAAGAATTTGGCATTATAGTAAAATGTACTTTCTGTGTTAGCCTCTTTCCCATGAACTTCAGCCTATTTACATGCTATCACTACAAAGATAACAACATATTTAATGGGTAGGAAATGCTCAATATGTAGATGAGTGGGGAAATACTGAAAATTACCAAACTATAAAATGCAGTTAACATAAAAAACACACTTTAACCCATCAGATGAAAAGGTTACTACTACTTTATTGGTAGAGCATATACTTTAATTCAGAACAAATGTAAAATATGTTACCATAGTGAACTGTAGACTTAAACGGACTAAAGCTATCTTTGTTGAAGGTATTAATCAGTTGGCTGGCGACTGAAAGTCCAATACCATATGAAATGTTTTCAAATGTCTCCACTGGGGAAGGAGCAGTTGGTTCCCACAGTAGTAAGTCATTAAAGATCCTACAAAGACAAAAGTTGAAAAGTAAGTGTGTATCTCCTAGTTTAGCCATCAGTAAACCAAACATATTCCTTAAAACTGAAGATAATTTTTCTAAACTGTGAAACAGAAACTAGATACTACAGGAGTTTTTATTTAAATCTACTATGTTCTTTCATCAAAAATAACTGGTAAAGCTATAATACTAGCACTGAAAAGAATCTGTCTAATCAGATACCTGCCTATGTACCTGTCACGAGCATCCAATGACATATAACTGAGTGCATTTTAAGGGAGGAAGTTCATTAAATATAAAAACCCATAAAGATTAAAGGAAGGCTGCTCACGCATAAAGAGCACTTTGCCAACAGCACCAGGACGGCTCTGTCTCCTGCCATCCCATCCACCCTGGGGGCCGGCCAGAGAACCATTCCCACTCTACACCTGAAACTGCCCCACAGGTTAAGCATGCCCTTATTAGTGGGGGAACTGGAGCTAGCACCCCAGTTTATGTCCAGCTCCCAGCTCAGTTCTCTCCCATTACTCACTTTCTCTAGGGAACTACTTTTCCCCCCTCTTGATGAAAACGCAGTTTCATCAAGAACAGTTAAGATAAGGGATGTGTATGGGGGATGTGGAATGCTCCGAACTCGCTAGAGCAGCCACGTCAACTCTGGTGACTACTGTGGTTCTCTGAGCCACAGCAGGCTATCATCACATCCACCTTCCCAAAGAAATTCTGTCCCTCCTCATATGGCCTCTGTCCCCATCCTTCCCCCAACAGCCTTGCTCCTCAGCTTTTAAGAAGTATCTCCCAACTCTTCACAACACTGCACATATACAAGACAGACGCCCTGGGGTGAGGGCACTGAGCCCGCAGGCCCATGTGAGGCACAGGGGAACAGGTATCTCATGCAGCAGTAACCTGTACCAGACCGTACTTAGTAAGCGCCACTCTGGTAACCCCTCATCATTACAGTAAAGGCTCTATAATCAGCTGCACACGAAGCACCCGGTAACCAAGCAAGGAGAGGAGAGGGGAAGAGAGGAAGCAGGTACCGTGGCAAGGCAACGGCAGAAACGCCCAACCACAGTCTGAGGGACGTGCTCAGACTCACCTGTTGTAAAGCTTCTCATAAAAGCTCTTATTCGGTAGTGTGATATGAATATTGGGTAGTGTAAGCTCCAGCACGTAGTGAGAATTGCTCATTGCTTTATCTTGAAACTCTGTCATTTCCACAGGGTCTCCTGGCATCACCATCTAGAATGTAACAGTGAAAAGAAAAGATCAAATGACCATTTTATGTTCAAAACAGTAAGTTTCTCCCCCTTGCCATACAACTTAGTATGTAAACGAGTTTGCATTTCATCCTTAACTTTTAACCAAGAAAAAAATAAACAGGTGTTATTCAATCTGGGAGCTAAAAATCTAGCAAAAACAGAAAACAAAAACAGTAAACAAAGCACCTTTTCCATGATAAGAATCAAAACCGTTGCTGAGTCTGGCCACTCCTCATCACAGACTCACTTTATTTTACCTGCTCGTTCTCAAACATGACTCTCCGGGAGGAGAAGGGCGAAGGCGCGGGCCTTCGCAGATCACAGACATCTTTCAGGGAATGTGCTCCGCCCTCCTCCTCTTCCTGATAGTGACCATCATTCTCCTCTGCTTCTTCCGCTGCTATTCTCTCCAAGATGGAGTGCATGGCTGGGGGGTTTAACTTCAGCACAATTCTGAGAGCAAAGACAATCAGGAAAAAGGCAGACTCTAAGTGGAAACAGCAAGAGTGACGCCAGCACCGCTGATGAAACCCCTGGTGGTGGGGTTTCTCTGCAAGCCGAGTCCCGTCAATCGCGACCCACTCCTGCGAAGCTGTAACTTGGGGTGGAACTGATGGAATGAGTAAAATTCAAAGACGGGCCTTGACATTTTATATTTATACTTGGCTAACAGAAATTCTCATCTCTGACGATAAAAGATTGTTTTCATATTTTATTAGCCAGCAATTATACCTAAGAGTTCTACTTATTATCATTAAATCAAAGCCTTCCTGTTCTTCATTATGGAATACTTGCATGCCCACGAAACCTTGCGTTGTACCAATTGTTCAAACAGAAAAAGGAGTGATGAGTGACTGACCTGGAGATAGTTGCAGAACTGCAAGAACAAAGTAACCGTTCCCTTCAGAATTTCAGCAACGAAAGACTGGCATTGTCTTTTGTACCTTCAACCCCATACTATGCAAACATCCTTGGATGACATTAGCTCCTACCCAAAGCCAAGCCGCAGGCCTTGTTCGCCTTGGACCACATCAGCCCGTGGACTGGACGCGCCACCGCAGCCTCCTGCTGAAGAGCTGAGCTGCCGCTGCAACTTAGGGCTTCCACCTAAGCTGGTTCTCGCTATACACTATCATAATTGTTGTAATTAATAAATACCCCTCTGTAAGCTGGACTTCCAAATTGCCTGCTTGACGCACACCCGCTTCTCCGGTGCGAAGCCCGGCTCCACGCGCCCATTGCCACGAGCATGCCCGGCAATGCTGCCCCAGCAGCCCGGTAGGTCTGATGCGGTGGGCGGAAGTGGGCATCGCAAAGGGGATGTCATTTCACAGAAAGGCTTCAGCACAGATGCTTTCAACACAATAACAAACCACTGCTGCTAGCAAACTAAGTTCCTTCAAATAGAATAATATAAACTCAGTGTCGGGCCAACTGAATTTAAGGAGTTTTTTCTGCCTAAGAAACGCTAATAAGGTGGTTCTCTAGGTTCACCTGACACTGAAATCACCAGGTGTCATTTTCAAGAATATACCAATGCCCAGGCTATATCCTAGAATCGGGGCGGGGGCTTGGGGGGTGGGGGGCGGCACAACGTTACTGTTCTGTAAAAGCCTGAGACCTGAAATGCACTGTCCTAAAGCAATCATCAACTACAAAATCTACCTGACAACTAGCTAAGTGGTGCAACATGGTATCTCTTCTCCATGACCTTGAAGTATCCTTAAAATGGTTGATTCTTTGTCCCTCTTTGGGCGGATTGAGACTGTACATTCAGAGCACCATCTCCCACTGTATCTAACATAAACTTTTTGTAGCACAGTAGCTAGCATACACACACACACACACACACACACACACACACTTTTTTTTTTTTAATTTGTCCATCTACTTCTGGGTTCTTTCATTAAGCATGGGCATTTTTAGCCTAGACTGAATACCAAAAAGTTGGTTAAAGGGATTACATCAATTTATTTTTGAAAATAAAAACCTCCCCAACACCCCTTCCCCCCAGCCATATACCGGCTTACTCACCGTGGCCAGTCAAAGTCATCTGATGCTACTGTGTCTCCATCCACTCCACCAGACACATGGAAAAACTTTGTAGATGGTTCTCCTTTCTCTTCCTGGAATGACCCTAACAAAACAAGACTGATTAACTAAAATGCATTTCTTCTTCAGTATTAAAAAAATAAAAACTTCCTTCATACAGGGGCAAAGATTCTCTACCCAGGGACATAATGCAGTGTTCAGTTGTGTGGCAATTACTCATTTGTTCCTACTTCATGTGTGCATGTGGGGAGACCGGATAGGCAGATTAAGTTAAAAATGCTGTTTTTGTTCAAACTCACATCCCTAAGTAGCAGCGTTAAGGTGCCCAGTGGCAACAGAAGAATGCAGCAGCTGCCATTTACTGAGTGCCACTCAACAATTATCCTTCATAATAGTCTATGCGATCCATCGAGCAATGCAGACAGGCAGGCACGTTCCTGAAGTGTGTATGTCAAAGCAAGCACTGTAGAATTACCTCTCCTCCCATAACCCTCTGTGTGTGTTCTACTTCACAAAGAATGACTTTCATCCAGAATAAGGAGTTCCTTACCACTGGAGATAGGGGAAGATCAACTAACCCTCAGGGCCCTCTCATAAAGTCATAATCAGCAACAGTTTTAAATATCTATATTCTCTTCATTAGCTGACAAAAGCAAGACAAGACACAAGCATTTCAAACAAGCTTTACAAAGAAGCGTCACCATGTGACTAGTGGCTGAAAGCTTGAGCTCCAGAGTCAGACTGAGGTTTGAATCTTGATTCTGGCACTTATTGCTGATGACCTTGGAAGGCATCTCTTCTCAAATCTTTAAACAATAAAGATCATCAAAAATAATAAGCCTCTCATCACTATGATAATTAAAGGATTGAACATTGTGTGTGAGCATTTAGCACAGTACCTACCACAGAGTGACACTCAACTCCCGGCTTCTGTGAGCCCTGAACAAGCATGTGGTCAGTGGTCATTAAAATTAAGTTAAAGGATTATTTTCCTGGCAGAAAAGAAGTACCTTAACAAAGTGAATAAATCACCATGCTTAGGAATTTCTCTTTAAACCTGATTTACATTACATTTTTGCATACAATATTGAAAAAAGTTGTTACTCTTGTATTTCAGCATAATATTCTTTAATTTTGCTATATCGGGGTGCTGTCGTGTATTTTTCCGGGATGCATGTTTCAATAGCAGTTGTGTTTTTAGTCTGGCTCTTTTACAGGCATGTTCAATCTTACCAACTAGTTCTCTAAAGGTAAGTTCCAATTTAATTTGTTCTGGGGTTGATCCTCCTATAAATTCAGTCTTAAATTCTAGATCTGTGAATGCTAAATGAAGGATCTCCTTCTGAAGCGACTTCTTAAACCATGGTCCTCTTTCTTGATCTGATCGAAGATCAGGTATTGGGAAGCGTACAGAAAGGTTTAATGCTGGTGTGGCAACTTGTACTGATATCCGACAATTGGCAGGATTATGTGAATCATCTAGAAATACTTCAGTGAAAGCCTTGTGCTAAAACACAAAACATCAAAAATATACTAAAATGTTATATTAAGTAAATATACATAAATGACATTAGTATTCAACATTCCAATAGGTATAATCACTATTTCCTCACTAAGAATAAAACATTCAAATTCATTTCAAATTAATTATTACCATGTTAATATACCATAATGAAATGTTACACTGGAACAGTTGTTGACAAAAGTCAGAACTACTGACTTTTAATATAAAACACAAATTAAAATAGAAATTGAACCAAAGACACCAGCACCACAGAAGGCAAAATAATCTTACTATTCACTAAAAAGGATAATGTGTAAATAAACTTAACAACTATTCAGTATGGTTAAAGGTAACCGTAGCAGCCAACTTCAATTTGAAGGATTTATCCACCAATATTCTACTTTACAGATTGAATGTGAAATCGGATAAGCTATGAAAAATGCAGAAAGGTTCATTCCTGGTGCATTTTTATATTTCCAGGACTAAGGCCAGAGCCTGATACATCATGGGTTCTAAATAATTAAAAATGATTTACCTCAACCTGCCCAACTCACCTAAGGGAATGATTATATCATTCCCTTAGAAATGATTCTCAGAAACCCTAAACACTTATTCACCATTTACTCAAGGTAAAAGGATCAAAAACTTGCTCTTCAGGTAAGTCTGTTGTGTGTGTGTTTGTTTTTTTTTCTCTAAAATGTACTAAAGCTTAAGCTCTAGCCCACAGTTGGTGATAAAACTAATTTCATGAATCAGTCTCTAACCTCACAGATTAGAAAGTCCCCATCTTACATTAGAAGAAACTTGGATTTTTAACAAACCTTTTCTCTTTCTCTCCTATTTGGCTTTCTAGCACTGGCCCCGACTCTCAGAAAAAATAACCCAAGGTATTAAATAATCCTTCCCACACATCAAGGGCTAATAGCAAATACAGGCACTAGCCCCATAGAACTGTGGCAAAGTAAGATAAAGAATGCTGATTTAATATGAGTACAGATCACTAATTAAGGAAGAAGAAGTAAGAAAGAAAATTAAAATATATTCTCCCTTTTCTTTTAACCAAAATTGCCCATTCTGTTTCTGGTCCTATCAGCTCCAAATTCAGTCTCAAAATCCCTAATAGACATCTCCCAAATCTGACAGCAGGGACCAGATCTCGGTAAAAGTGACTCAGTGACTTTCTCAGGAACACAATACTATAAATGCTGTTTCAATTTTCAAAACTGTATCTTACAGATTATAGGTTACAGTTCATGGGTGCTCTAATAGTTTACTGAATACGTGACTAGATGCAATTTTGTGAGAATCATAATTTATAAAATTCCAATAAAACACAGAAAGGAAAGAAAACCTAGTTCTACTACTCTGATACAATCAGTACCATCAACCAGTATATTTCTACTCATTCTTTTCTGTACATCCATTTCACTGGCATAGTTACAATAAAAGTTTATATGGAAAGCATATTCTACTTTTTCACTTACATCTTTATGAGCACTCTTTCTGTGTTGTTGCATCATCTTTACATCAATCATTTAAAACAGCCACCTAAAATTCCACTCAGTATTATTACCAAGATTTATATAACTACAATCTATAGATAAAAGTTTTCATTTGTATAAATAATGTTGTTTTAATAAAACATGCCCTTTATTCTATTACGAACACGTGAGCTCAGAACTGATATTCAAGTAGCCTACAAAATAGCTATAATTGTGACGAGCACTGCAGTTTTAAATACACTTACCAAACTAATGTGCTTATTGTATGATGTGTACACGTGAGACGCCATCATCTCCACCGTGGGAAGTTTCTGTGGCTGAAGCAAGGAGTTCAACCTGTCCACTATACTGATATCCAGCTCACAGAAGACTGCATTGAGCTTAATTTGCAATTCTGCCTTCTGAGGAACAGAACTAAGTCTTGCTTGGTTACCCTTTTAAGAAAAAGAAAGTAAGAATATGATCACTAATGATACCACAAAGTGAACTGAAAACCTTCCACTTAGAACAAACAACCTATCCAGTCAAAGTGTAAAGGGCTCTTACCTGGGGTCCTTTATTCTCAGAATGCTTATAATGAAGCTGAAGACACACAGGGGGATGGGAATCCACTCGTTCTTTGGAATGGAACATTAAAAGCTTAAAAATGAAGATAAACATAAGATATTAACCTGTAATTAGTCACATGAATTAACAGAGGTGCTAATGTAAGAACAGAAAGAACTTTTTGTCAGGAAAAGCCAGTTTCAAATTTAATTTTTGTCACTAACAAAGTGATTGTAGACAAATGAACTTCTGTGACACTTAGTACCTCATCTATAAAATGTGGATGAGGATTCAAGTAAATCAATGTCTAAGGAAAAGCTTGAAAATAAAAACAGTATAAAAGGTTAAAGTAACAACAATAAGTGATACTTTCATATCTTTAAAAATAGTTTCTTTAAGACATTACTAAAAACAAACAGAAAGATCACTAATTGGGAAAACATTTTCTCACACAAAAGTAGCGATAAAGGACTGATCACAAAAATATACGGA